ACACTTGTAAAATGATTTAAATCCTCGATAAAATCTGCAATTATGGATAGAGGAGAGTATTGACGGGTGGCCCAAGGAAAGTCCAGCATCAAAATGACAGTAAATTGAAATCAAGTTTTGATTTCAACATCAAACTGAATTCCCAATTTGATTTCAGTTTATGCAATTGATAAATTTGATAAATATGTTGTTGCGGGTTTGTTTTCATTGCCTTAGCATAACATCAAATTGAATACTTGTTTTGTTATCAACAGGAAAAATTGATATTAAATTTAGTTTTTCAGTTTGCTCTCACTGATAGCAGAAATAGTTTTCAATGTGATGTCACAGGAAGATTTTTTTGCTCTCAATTTTGATATTTTAACCATTAAAACTACCAAAACGACAGCAACCTGAGCAATCATTATCTGCGAAATCACATCATATTTAGATTTCAATTTGATCTCAGACTTTGCTCGGGGGTTGTCTTAAAGAAACTTGCTCATTGCTACGCGCTTCTAGCTGAGAAACTACAGGTAGGGATATCAACCTGAGTGGCTATGCAATAATTGAGCATTTTGTAAAGTTTTTGGGAACATTTCCTCAACAAAAAAAAATGCAGTTACCTTTTTACCTTGAGCGTATCGTCATATGAAATAATGAATGTTATCACACAGTTCCCAGACACAGAAAATAGTATCTTTAAATTTACAGAAGTAGTGCGAACCATGCTTAGTGCTTCCAATAGATAGAAACAATATTTGTGGAGAAATCACCAACTTTCCGAAAGACTCCATACTGTAAAACTGGTTAATCCACCACCGGCAGGGCAAACTCTGTGGAATTTGATGGTGAAATGTAATACCCTATTGCTTTCAACTACTTGAGTTATATTTCTAACTTTTCCTCCATGAAAAGATTACGAATATCAATGTTTTGTTTCGAATTTTGTTGGTAAGTTTCACATTTTATTTTATTATTGCATCAAATAGTACTGAGGTAGGGGAGTTGGCTCTAATGTTGGCCTATGGATCTAATATTGGGCCCATTGCTAAAAATCTGCTATTTATCAATTTTATCTAGATGAACGCGTCATTGGGACAGTACTAATGGATATTTTTGGAGATTCAGTCGATTGCTGAATTTATGTATGGGCCTAAATTAGGGACATTTAGGCCGACATTACATCCATTTCCCCTAACTTTTTTATTTTATTTTTTTGTCGTCAATCAGTGTAGACTGTTTTACAATTGTTGCCTTAACTGCTATTCTTTGCAATTTTTTCTTTGTTATATAAATTTTAGTATGTCTTGAGAACAAATAAAAGTACTGCTACTACCTCGCGTTACGCAAAGAATTAAAATATTCGTATTATTTGGTTTTTGTCATTGTAAAGTCAATGTTATCGCAGAGCTACAACCATCATTTGGTTTAAGGGTCCAAATTTGGCATAACTCGTACGCGGGCGGTTTGTAGAAAATATAATTCTATTTTGTAGGTGCTTACATGGTGTCTATAATTTTAAGTATGACAACATATAACAACTTTTCCTGAACATATACAAAATTTCCTTAAATTGATGAAAAAAAAATTCTCAACTTCTTCGAAGTTTCATTTTTTTGTTCCAAACTCAGCAAATTCTACCATTATCTTAGAACATCTTTGAACTTCACTGAACTTCCAGATAAGCCCTAATCGTTTTCTATGAATATTCCTGAACAGCTGAGAAGTTCCCTTATAATTAACGAAGTTCCCAAACCTTACAGGAAGTTCATTGCGCTTTTTTGTATTAAGATCTCTAACAAACCTAAACGAAATTCCCTTAACTGGACCGAACACCCCTAGAGTTGGAAGGTTTATGAAATTTAGATTGTTTTCTACTCTTCTATGAAATGTTTACGCACTTTCCACAAATTCACTCCAGGTTCTAAGAAATTCGCCAAGCTTCTACAAAATGTTCTGCTTTGCTACACAGCTAAAAAAAGTAGTGTAAATTTCCGTTACTATGATGCACATAAATGGAGCGTCATATATCATACAAGGATAGATCGTGTAAATTTATGAGACATGTCATGCAATATTCCATATATTGTATGCAACTGTACACTTTTGTTTGCAACATTTCTTGTAAGCTGCTAGTTTACGTGAAAAAGAAGTTTACCTGTATGAATGTTTGCATGCATGGATGTTTACATCGCCAGTAAAATTCAGAATTTTTTGGTGTGTACGTTTCTCGTTAATTTTCGTTAGTTTTCTGAGCTTGAATGTAATTTTCTCAACTAATCAAAGGCCATTAAATATCAACGAAGTGCCCACAAAAAAAGGGCCCTGATCATCAATGAGGATGTATGACATTAAACAATGTTCCCTTAACTTCCACGAAGCTGCCCAAACTTGTACAAAGTTCCCTGAATTTATGAAGCTTCTTGAATTTTTACGATGTTTCTTGAAATCAGACGTCAAGTCTTACGAAGTTATCTAAGGTTAAATAACAATCCCTGAACTATAAAGAAGTTAAAGTTCGTTCACTAAAGTTCGCTCAGTTTATACAAAGTTCACTAAACTTCAGCAGATTACACTGAACTTCTCCAAAACTCTTTGCATCTCTGAAGTTCTACGAAATTCCTTGATGTTCTGAAACGTGCCCTGAACTTACGAAGTCCTCTCAAAACAAATGGTATTCTCTTAACTTCTGTGAAATCCTGTAAAGGCTTGATTTTATAAATTTGAAGACAGATCTCCACCCGGTAACACTTTTGAAAAGTATCGTTGAAGACATTTCGTCCACCTGGATGAAGATTTTTTCAGAATATACCTGGGAAAAACATTAATGAAAACACTATGAACTTATGTAAAACCAATGGTTTAGCCATAATCAATTGTTTCCTCCTATAGAAGACGTTGGGAGCACTGTGCATAGGTGGACTGATGCATTTCTTGACTTCTGCGCTTGACTTTTTGATTACCGTGCTTTTAAGTATTCATCCAGTTGTACTTTACCTTTGTTTTTTTAGTTCTTGAGCTCCATTATGAGAGCACAAGAAGATAGTCCAACAAATGGTTGTGGTTCAATGAACTGCATGGATGAACCTATTTTACCAATTGATCAGTTTTTTCATTTCCTTCGATTCCACAATGACCAGAAACCCAATATACTTAGCTTAACCGTAATACGACAAGACAGTTGTTGCACTATCTGGCAAATTAATATGTGTGCATTTTTATAAATCCTTTCTATGTAAATAACTACACATTCTAAGATGGCATATATTTTACCGTGGGACATTTTGCCATCGACACCGAAAAGTGGTTCTCAGGGCCGGTTATTCCAGCATCCACCATATTATCTTGTTTAGAGCCATCTGTACAAACAAAATAATGATCCAGGACGAATATCCATTCCTCCTGCATCCTAATCAAAGCGAGTCACATCACTCGAAATGAGTTGTTTAAATAATTTCGGTTTAGCATAAAATCTTCGTTCATTAATACACTGGAGTCGCTTTTTACGCGGGTGATACGTCCCGCGTAAAAAAAAACCGCGTAAAAAAAACGCGTAAATTCCGGAATCCGCGTAAAAAAAAAACCGCGTAAATTCCGAAATCCGCGCAAAAAAAAAACCAAGTAAAAAAAGACCGTGTAAGAAAAAACCGCGTAAAAAGCGATATACCGCGTAAATTCTGAAATCCGCGTAAATTCCAGAATCCGCGTAAAAAAAACCGCGTAAATTCCGAAATCCGCGTAAAAAAAAACCGTGTAAAAAAAAACCGCGTAAAAAGCGACTCCAGTGTATTAATGGACTTATTTGAAACTCTTTTTGAATACTCAAGTGTCAAATAAGATCTTCATCGAACGTCGTGAACCGTTTGAGCATCAGAGCGCTTTTCACTGCATCCAATTGAATAAATTGACGGAAAAGAAGGAGATTGAGTTAATATCTATATATCTTAAATATTTATAAATGTGCATGATGTTAGAAGTCATTGTTCTTATTATTAGTTCTTGTTCAAATCTGTTTGAAATAGCGAAGCTAAGTTTGGGTTGTTCTTTGGGCGGAAATTCGATCAAATACCCTATAAAGTAGGTGGTTGAAATGTATCAAAATTAAAAAAAAAATGTTTTGATTGTAAAAACCTAATGTTCTGAATTTTGATGGTGATATAAACATGCATGCATTAAAAAATTAAAGCATGTAAACTTCCTTTGCGCGTAAACTAGCAAACTTGCAAGAAATGTTGTTTACAAAGATGAATTATTGCTCGCAATATTTGGAATATTTCATAAAATGACACGATCTGTAGTGTGAGTTTGTATGATATGTGGCGCTCCATTTATGTGCATCATAGTGACATAAATTTACACTACTTTTTCGAACTGTGTAGAACGTTCTTAGTTATGTGTTGGGCGTTAGGCTGGTACATTTCGAATATTATTATTTTTAGTAAAAATTATAAATGGTGTGGCTCAAATAACAACCAACAGCCTTATTGTCCGTTCCGTCAGTTTTAAATTCGCATCGCAATTCCATCGCGACTATGGATTGACAATGCAAGGGCAATATTGTGAATCACGAATTAAAAAAATTAGCAATGCAATGCTAAAATCAAACCAACTAGCGTTTGACCCTCGTATTAGCTGTTTACTGTACACAGAAACAGAACTGGCTGCACTCTCGTACATCATATACCTACCTAATAATTCCAAATCAACAACGGTACACTCACGATTATGCCTACCATTATAATCCATCACACCACTATAAACGACAAGCATCCCCTCATGCCGCAATGATGCAACACAAATTATGTAGCTGTGTTCCCTTTCTCTGTCACACCGCGAAACACGTTTCTTTACAGCGGCACAATGCTCCGTATCTCTCCATCATGCTCGACGTTGCGCGACACACCTTCTCCCATATTATTATCATCACATGCAACGATGTCACATTACCGTAGAACTGCTGTGGTCTCTTTCTTACTCTTGCTAACGAATTTCTTTCCTTCTCTTGTTTTCCTCCGCAGGTGAAGATTTGGTTTCAGAACCGACGATCAAAGTACAAGAAAATGATGAAGGCAGCGCAGGCACCGGGCGTCGGAGGAGGACTTCCACTGGGTGCGCCGAACCAAGGTGGTCACAGTCCGTCGCAGCATCAAAACATGCATCAAGGTAAGTGTCTCCTCCTATTCCGTGTTACAAGCACGCATACCTACATGGAACAAAGCCGTACTGGCGTTGGACGTCGTCGCCGCGTCGTGGATTCATTCATTAAGTTCGTGACACCAACGACCGACCGACCGACCAGCAGTGCAAGGAAGGGATGAAAATGCACTCCCGGCTACCCTTGAACGGTTCTTGTGTTATCCCATTTGTCTCGCTGCTCTTTAATATTTTTATTGCTTACCGTGGTGGCGGCGGCGTCGGCAGCCGAAACGCTTCCTACGCTGCGGTCCGTCCTGGAACCATGAATATCGATGGACTACTGTCCGAAATAGAAATAAATTAGTATATAATTAGGGGGTTGCACGGACGGAATAATAATCGGTTGGGATCACGTGTAGCTCGCAGTGGCGTTTGTTTGCAGACGCCGCTGACGACGACGGTCAGCTACTCTCCTGCTAGAATTCCTCGGGGTAGTCAAACGTCCACACACACACACAAGCAGCTGCTGACAACTGACTGTATTTTGCTTCTTCCATTTTCCAATTTCAGCACCCGGCGGTGGCTCAAGTAGTGGATCGCCATCGCACTTCCTACCTCCCGGACACAGTCCAACGCCGTCGAGTACACCGGTCTCGGAATTGTCACCTGGTGAGTTTTGCAATCCCAAGTTTACAGTTGCCTTGGATACCTACCAATTCCTTCATCCCAATTCCGATCGAATCCCTCGAGAGAACTCGTTGATCGCTAATAGCGTTTTTGCTTTTGATCCTACTGCTGATCGAATTCCAGGCCTCAGTCCACCCTCGCAAGCACCCTGGGAGCAGAAACCTCCGCCGCACTGGGGCGACCACAAACCACCGCAGATGGCACCGCAGACGAACCACGCACCTCCACAGCCGACCCACGCGCCCCAGATGGGCGGTTACGTACCTCAGTACTGGTATCAGCCGGAAACGAATCCATCACTATTAACGTAGGTAGTTGAAGGTCTTATTGTTGTTGTTGTTGTTGTTGTTGTTGTTTGTGTTATTTTTGCTATTATTTCCGATTGTGTTCGTCTCTCTCTCACTTATTTTTTTTATTTGTCCGATTCTTCTTCTTTTCCGCGTGATTTTCCGGCACGACGCAACGTGTTGTTTGTTCTGGGTGGGATTTTAGATGATTTTTTTTTTCTCCGCAAAGCTTTTTTTCCTGCTTTGTGTATGATTTGGATGATTCTACGGGGCCGGGTTGCGTAGCTAATTACTCAGCAAAAAAGCGAACGCTTTTCTTTTTGGGTGTGAATGCTCCACGGTGTCGCACGATGCCACGTTGGGATTTATTCCATCATTCAGTGTCGTCAGTGACGGTGAATGATGAACAACTGGATGCCAATGCTCAACGCGTTAGTTCAGTTGGAGATAATGTCTCCTTGGGGAATAATAAACCTTTTCAGTTATTAGGCATTACAAAATATGGACAACATTTTGCTTTTTATTGGGCCGCTGAGTAGTCTCCCTCATTTTTCTTATCGGGAATGTAAAGGAAACTCATTTATTCATACGACCCATTATATTTCAAACCTTGTAAATCTTAGGAACACGATGGACAAAAATGTTTGCTAATCATTTGTTCAAATAGGTTTTGAATCTGATGCAAAATGATATCAATGATTATTGCGATTGCAATAAGTAAATGGAATTTAGATTGAATATTTGGTCGGACCCCGGATAAAACGAGTTTTTCCTTTATTATTCAATACAAGGTTACTCTTCTCAAACTATATCACGTGATGTAGGTTGACAAACTTTACTTTGTATGGAAATATCAATTTGAATTTTGAACACTTTTATGATCATAATATTCCCGTTGACTTACTGTTCTTGATGTCTCAGTGTTGACTACTTTCCCCTTCTTCAACCGGTTCCGTAATATTCACTTACAATCAATGCTGTCCTGGTTTACCATGATGTTTTTTTAACCTTGTTACTCACTGATTTTAGATGCGCGCACCTTGCCCACCTCAAATCCATGCACCCCTTTCAAGCAGTGATGCCACATATACAGATATATCTGTAATCATACAGATTTTTTTTCAATATTTTGATACAGATATCTGTACATACAGATTACATATTTTTCAAAAATATATAGATTTTTTCAGATTTTTCAAATGAGGGGAAAATATTTTATACTATTTTTTGTATTTATTAATTTCGTTAAATAATCGTTTCTTTCTTTTGAAAAGCTTGAATTCAATCTGAGCATCAAACCCAAATCGTCTTTTTCACTAAATAAATTATTGTTTTAGCTTCAAATGGAGCTGAAATGTTTTGAATGGACTTCTGATGTTCAGATGCTCTGAATTCTCGTTGGAAGGGATATTAGTTTCCTTTTCCATTTGTCGAAGAGTCAACTGGGTATTTTAATATGTGAATAACAAAATTTTAGAAATAAAGAATATTGCATGCAATTCGACTAAACTTTCAGTAAAAGTTTTGTGTTAAAACTTATTGAAAAATTACGGAGTTGAAGAGAAAAAAATGTCCAGATAAAGGTTTTCGTAATTACAGACATACAACAAAATCAAATTCTAGAATATTGTGATAGTTACTTCATTAGGAACATCCTCAGTCGGAAACAGATTCGCCTATCACAACTGGAACTTAATGTTTTGTATTTTTAATCTGTAGAAAAGATACACATCATTTAAAATAAATATTGTAGGATTTCGAGATCTTTAAATAGAAAAATTCTTTATAAAGCAAACTTTAGTAATTTTTCAAGATTCTAAACTTTGAACAAAGTCCTTTTAAACTATGTATTAACTCAATGAAGATTTACGTGAAGCTGCACTGAGACCATAATAAAGAAATTTTACAGATTTGTTTACAGATTTTCGTCTGTCCGATACAGATTAAACAGATATTTTGCGATGAAAATACAGATTGAAATTCGAAAAAATGTGGCATCACTGCTTTCAAGAGCTTCCATAATTGTAATGTACTAGTATTTAGGACTGTCTAACTGTATGTCCTAGCTATTAAGCAAGACTCTAATTGACACTGGAGTAGTGTTTCCATTTCCCGGCCATTTTAGAAAGAGAAAGCATAGTTTGCTATCTCTCTTATTCTTCACCGATGTCAGACACTACCGATGTGCGGTATAAGAGGCGAGGAGAAAGGAAACTAGTGGACTCTTTTGTTCTCGCGTCTTCTTATGCAGCAACAGACGTGACGTCACGTCTGCTGTTGCATAAGAACACCGTCAGAATGAAAGAGTCCACTAGTTTCCTTTCTCCTCACCTCTTATACCGCACATCGAGACACTACTACTGCCAGGAGTGACGGTAGTTTCGGGTAGCGTTCGGATGTAAAACAAAAATCATGAAACTCAAACTCGCCATGGTTTGGTTAGAATTATAGCTGGTGAGCTTTGTTAGCTTAATATTCATAGATACGATATCACAGCTTGTTGATTTTTGTCTACGAAAATCATGCGCGATATTGTGCATTGGTGTCTCTTTCAACTTTCCTCGAAATTTTTATCGTAAGCTTCCTCCAGAAGTATTTCTAACATCCACGATAGCTTCTTTTGGCTTCCGATGGAAAGTTCATCCAAATTCTTCAGCAAGTTTTTTTTTAAACTTTCTTTCAACTGTTTTAAAATATCGTAGAATTCGACATTCACAGAAGATTCATCTTTAATTAATTAGTCGTTTTGGCTTCATATAAAAATGTCTTCTGATTTTCCCTAAAGTTTTTTCTGGCCTCCCCCGGAAATTTTTTCAATCTTCTCTCAGGAAACTATTCTGACTTCTTCTGGAACATTCTTCCAATTTACATTAGATGATCTTCTGAATTCATCTGGAAGTTAATCCAAACTTTCTCTTTCGCAGTTTATTTTGACTCCTCAGGTAAATTCATTGTCACTTTCACCCAAAACTCCCTCTAAATTTCTTGCTCGGTAAATAGAAACAGATTCTCGGCAATTGGGAAACGTGATTTCTGGTAAATTTCCCACGATATCCCGGATAGGAAACACTACACTGTAGTATGGATAAAACTTTTCTGTAATCAGCATACCATAAATCTTTAAAATACTAACAGGGAATAGTGCCATCTGTTCGTTTTGTTAGCTATCGATATCTGAGACGTGAAATACTTTCACCAACGAAAGTTGAACCTAGACCCTCACCTTGATGAGCCAAACCCCTAAGCACTGTTCTATCCCACCTTTCTATTTTCACTATCACAGTTCACAAATATTAATCGGGAATCGAAACTCTTCGCTGCATAGCCGCCATTAATTTAAGAGAATAAGAATCTCCAACAGACGGGGCATCTTGAAAGGCGACTGTTTTTTGCTACAGTTAGATATTAGTCCTATAGAAACATCCATAGTGATACTGAAATTTTCTAGATATTCAGAAAATACCCCTGAAAATCCTGGAATTTTACTGACCATCTCGGAATTTTTCGTGGATTTCTCTGGACTTCCTTGACGATATCTGGACTTTCTCAAAGTTTTCTTGACTTCCCTGAAGTTCCCTGTAGGGTTTGGTGGAGCAAGATGGGTCACGCATCAAGATGAGCTATCTAGTACATTTATTAATTTTTTATATTATATTTATATTTATTTATTAATCCGTCAAAATCAACAGGTTCAATGCAATCATAATGATAGATTTCATTTTTAAACCAGCATTAGGGATACACTTAGCCTGTTGATTTTGACATTTAAAAAAAAATCAAGTAGATTACCCATCTTGCCCAGTGACCCACCTTATCATAATTTTCTGAAATCCTCAGAACATCTAAAAGTTCCCACAATTTTTCTCAAGTAAATGGAACTGTTTTGAAATTTTCGAAACTATCCGGATGCTCTCGGAGGCCTCGCTTAGCTCAGTCGATAAAGGCGCAGCTACAAAGCAAGACCATGATGGAGGAGGTTGGAAAATTGTTTGACTTCCCTGGGCATAAGAGTATGATTGTACTTGCTACACAATAATACTAATGCAGAAATGGTACAAGCATCGAAAGCCCTCAATTAATAACTGTAGAAGTGCATCTAAAACACTAAGTTGTGAGCACGCAGTAAGCTAATAATGCGATAAGCAAAAAACTTGAAAAAGCAAATAAAAAGAAGAAGGAGAAGATGCTCTAGAAATTTCCTTCAACATATTTGCACTTTCCTGTACTTCTCTGGTCTCCCTAAAAGTTTTCACATTTTTTCTGAATGTGTAGAAATTTCTTGAAGTTTTATAAATTTCCCACAAGTTCACTGCTTTTCCCTGAAATTCTCGGAACTTCTCTAGAATTCTTGAAATTCTTCTGAAGATCTTAGTACTGCCTTGAAGTCATAAGAATCCCTAAGATTAATTGATAACATCTAAATTTTGATGAAGCTCCCAACAACTTATTGAAGTTTTCAAATCTCTGAAACTTTCTGGACTACTTGAAAATTTGGAAGCATCTCTACAATCATCTTCCCTGCAGTGCCCCCAACTCTCGAAACTGCCCTGAAGCTTATGGGTCTACTTTTATTTTATTGTTTTCATATATTCTAGTTCTTTGAGTTTCCTTAAGGGGAAGTTCTTCGCCCCGAAAAAAAATTAAATAATTAATAATAAAAAAAAAAAAAAAAAATTAAAACTTTTGTAACTTATCATGGCACAAAGTTGGAGATAGAAAAAAATATGGTTACATGTAAATTTTCTCAAGATTCTAAGGAAACAATTGATGTTGTTGGTTGTTTAATATTTTAACCCAATATGTTTATAAACATAAAAAAGGTGACGTGGAAAAAAGTCAGGGCGGTAAACTTCCCCTTTAATTCTTGTTTATTATTTTCTAGACTTCTATGAAGTTCCAAAAGTTTTCCTGATGTTCTTGAAGATCTCGTGAAAATTCATAACTTCCCTGGAGTTCTAAGAACTTCTCTGAGATTCAAGGAACTAATTTAAGATTCCCTTAATTTTCCTTAAATTAGAACGAAATAATTTATAAAGTTCTTAGATGTTCAATGAAGTTCTCTAAATTTTCCTGGAATTCATACAATTGCACATACATTATTATAACTAGTTGTTTAACATTTTAAACTTCTAGACATTCCTGATTTTTTAAGGTGTTTTCCTGATGTTATCTGAACTGCCCGAACGATCTCTGAACTTTTATAAAGTTCTCTATTGTTCCCTGAATTTCTCAATATTTCATAAAAGTTCCCACTATTCTTCTGAAGTTCATTGAAAGGACATGAAGTCCCTTGATCGTCCTGGAAGGTCCCGTAATTTTTCCGAAGTTTTGAAAACTTCTTTGAAGCTCGCTTTACTTTCCCCTTATCTTCCCGAATTTCTCTGGACTTCCCTGAATGTTTTGGAAATTTTCTTGATATTCACATAACTTCCCTGAAGATCCCGTAATGTTCCTAAAGGTTTCGCATAATTCCTGAAAGTTTCCGAATATCTTATGATTCCTTGAAACTTCTTGAAAGTGACTGCACGTTTCCTGACGCTAATGGAACTGCTCTGAAGTTATCTGATAATCCTCAAAGTACTCGTAGCTTCTCTGAATATAATGAAATTACCTCTGAAATTCCCTAGACATCTGAGCTTCTAAAAAATTCTCGCAATTTTCTTGATATTAATGAACCTGTCTTGGTGTTTTCTGATTTTCGCTGAAGTCGCCGCATGTTTTTTAAGTTCTCGAATCTGCCATTCAAAATACGGAACTTTCTTTAGAATGTTTTCACGCTTTTTTGATGTCGATGAAACGTTTTAAAAATTGTCTTGAACTTTTCGGGGCTTTGCTGAAGTTTTCCATTGAAGTTCCAGTAATTTTCTTAGAATTAATTGAACTGCCCTTAGGTTCTCGGATGTATCCTGAAGTTCGCTAAAATCTCCTAAAATGTTTGATACAATCCTGAAATAAATGGAACGGTTATGAAAACCTTCAATCAACCCTCTGGACTTTCCAGAAATCATGATGTTCATGATTTGAGTAGCTCATAATGATTTGGTGAGCAACTATGTTGCGTGGCATTATAACGTTTTGCACTTCTCTTAAAAAACTCACCAATACTTTTTGAGCTACTCAAATCAGATACTCTCAATCAATTATTTTTGGAAAAATAACGCTCTTTCTAAATTTGCAATAATAGGGGGAATGGATGTAATGTCGGCCTAAATGCCCCTAATTTGGGCCCATACATAAATTCAGCACTCGACTAAATTTTCGAAAGCGACCAAAAATATTCATTAGTACCGTCGCAATGACGCGTTCATCTAGATAAAAGTGATAAATAGCAGCTTTTTAGCGATGGGCCCAATCTTAGATCCATAGGTCAACATTAGAGCCATTTCCCCTATTTAAGGATTATTAAAAAAAATCTTTGACAGTATAAAAACTGTCAAATAACAGGCCTTAACCGTTGTAACGACCCGTAATGTCAAGACCAACAATTGAAAAGGCCTCAACTCCATTTTGTAAACAAACCTTGGAAGGCCATTTTCTCGCGAACCGAAACCTACATTCGCAATCTTTAAACACAATCGGGTAGAAAATAATTTCCCCTACCTGTTCGTTTTGTTGGTTTGAGTTGGCGGAGTTCGGTTCGGGAGAAAATGGCCTTAAAAGGTTTGTTTACAAAATGGAGTTGAGCCCTTTTCGATTGTTGATCTTGATGTGTCCTCTGGATACCTCTGAAGTTTTCAGAATTTCTTCAAAAATCCTGCGCCTTAAAATTCTTAATGCTTCGCTGAAGTCTCCACAATTTTCAACCCGAAAAATTACTAGACCGGACTGGTAATCGTACCCAGTTGCTTTCGTCTTTACCAACTGAGCTAAGAGAGCCCACATCTAGACAATGTTCTTGGAATTGCCCTGAACTTGATTGAACTACTCAAAAGATCCTTAAACTTCCCTTAAGTTCTCTGGACTTCCGTAAATATCTTTAATATCGTCACTAAACTTCCCTGATGTTCTTTGGATTTTCCTTAAATTATCTTGAAGATTCCTGCTATTTTCCTGAAAGCATGTAAGTGTCCTGAAAATCTTGCAGTTTTCCTGAAGTTAATAGAATTGTACTTAAGCACGTTGATCATTCTTCACTGAAGTGAATTTCCCAAAAATCTGAAACTATCGGATCATCTTTGCAATTTTTGGAACTTCAATTAAATTCTCAGAACTTTTTAAAGGCTCCAGATTTTTTTTTTTTGATGATAATGGAACTATCGTATAAAAACATACCAGATATTCACAAATTTAAATTGTTGGAATATGCTTGGAATATATATTCTCATGTTATTTACATTTTTTTTCAATTTGCGACGTTTTTCTCAAACATTTGTTTACATCGCTGGCGCAATATTTCTTCACCTTCAGAGTGCCATTTGAAAATATGCATCCTCACAATCTTTAATGAATTTGGAGATGTAGGTACCTGGCTTCATAGTTGCGCATGAGCATTCATGAGGTGACCAAAATGAAATCAATCAAGCATTTTATTTTTAATCACTTTGGGGGAGCAATATTTGTTCAACTTCAGAAGCATATATACGCATAAAGCGGCCCTAATAACACCAAACTAAATGTACCAGATACATTTTTTATCTGATGTATTCATAGGCGTAGCCAGATGGAGGCAGGGAGGTGGGAATAGCCCCCCCCCCCTAAACTCAGAAACACAAAGGCTTTCAGTGAAATGGCGTTCGGTGAAATAGAATTCGGCCAAATTTTCCGCCTCTACCTAGCTCGAAACCTGGCTACGCCCTTGGACGCGCTCACAGTTTTTCGTGCAGATTTGTTTTCAAACGTTTGCTTTTGATTATGGAATATTTTCATTCCACAATTAAAGGCCTTGGTACAATCTGGATGAAGACACAAAATTTCTCATGTTGTATGTTTGCAGCGCAATTTTGCACATGTGAGAGCATATTTATCTGAATGGACATCCAAAAATTCCCATATAAAAGCCGCACATGCTGCTGCATTTTGAAAATAGTGATACATTTCTTATAGGCCACCCTCGAGTTCGATTCAATACCCTTAAATATGAGCTTATGTAAGGTAAGAGGTCGCGCCAATGGAGATTTCGGTGAACGTGGAGTCTCAGTATCATTATTGTTTGATTTGTGGGATCTGACATGTTAGGGCTCTTGAGGTTTCAAGATAAGGCTTCCTTAGAGATTAGGCTTAAAATAGTATTCTACTGATTAAAGTTGAAAACTGTAGCCTCTAGATTCGCACTGCGATTGATATTCAGTGGAAAAATAGTAAGGCTCTCCTTTAGCAACAATGGCTAAAAATATCATAAGGCTAAAGTGTCTGGATTGAAGAGAACACATATTTTTAATAATGATATGCTAAAGTGACGTTTTGGAAACCATTAGCCACCTCAATAGCCATCCTCGTATACCAAATGATTGCAGAACGAATGCAAATTCTTCCAAGCAAGCAGGCTTGATGGAGCCTCGCTTGTAAGCTTGAAATGAGCCGAGCATAGCATTTTTCTGATGAGTAGAATGCCTACTGCCAAATCATTCCACTGAGCTTCAGAGTTTGTGAGCGAAGGGTGATAAAATGAGAGTGAGGTTTGTTGCCATTCATGTTCATGTCTTCTATCACACGCTCTTAAGCTAGGTTTAGACAGGGCAAGTCAAACGATCAACTCAGTTGAATTCAACTGACTTGAACGCGTATTGAACGTGTAAACCATGCCATTCAACTGACTTGATCTACTCCCTTGAATTGAAAAAAGTTATACCAGACTCAACTTTTCAAGCCAATTGAATGCAACTGACTTGATCAGTTGACTTGCCCTGTCTAAACCCAGCTTTTACTCTCACAGTAGGTGAACTCTGAGCTTCTTACGTCGAACAAAAACGTCATCCGGAGCTTCGAAAAGCGCAACTCACGTCAAATCATCCTCTCGCTGAAGTTCACTCTCCCTTTCTCTCGAGGAGTTTTTGTTTACTTCTTCCATATTCCTGTCGCCGCTCACTCGATGTGAGGGCTGGCTAAACTCGCAGGACAAGAGTGTTTTAAAACCTCCAGCGAGTTTGAGGAGTTTCAGCAAGCATACAAGCAAGTGACTGCACATGAGCTCGCAACTTCCAACTGTAGAACGAAACACGCGAGAAGCAGAAAGAATGTGAAAACGTTCCCTGATGAGTGCAACCCCGATTGAATGCATAAATGCTGAACAGTAGTAATCTAGAACCAGAGAATCGTTTTTGCCTCATCACTAGACGATTATCCGTGCCATTACACTTACAATCAGATTCGGTACGCAGTGAATACATTCGATTTAATATGAAAACGAACGCGCAAGTGACCACTCATTGACCATTCACTGATTAGGCTATCGGGAGACTGCAACAACTCAATCGAGTGAATCCTGCTGGGCATCTCTCCGATTGATTTTGATGACTCATATTGTAAAAATTTCAACGCCATTCAGTGCTAGTATTGCGCATTGTTCTAAGGCTTGTTAGTATTATGGCACATACGACACGATGTCAGTAGTTATTTGTTGTACTGAAGCGTTTCTTGCAAACGCTTACCGAAAATCTTGGATCAATAAAGGCTAATTTTTTCCCTTCAATTATCTATATCTTCCGTAGCCAAAGGAGCAGGGAAGCGATGTTTGATGAATACTATTCTTCTCGGATACCCCGATTCGAGACACATCAAAGGTAATTTTCATAACTGTCGATCCACAAACTTATGTATGCCAGTAAGCACTTTAATGTAACTGTAGTCTCTAGCCTTTGATTTGAATTTGTGAAAAAAACATGATGCAATGTTTTGGATACCTATTGGGACTGATTTAGTTGGCAAATAATACAATTGCATGATAACAGCTTATCAGAAATAGGTAACCGTGCACGGCACAGACGGGTAAACGCACAGCTGTGATGTTCAGAGTCTAGTTGATCATGCGCTGTCAAAGTACATGCGCACATCAAAAACATATGTGCATATCAAATAAACTTTCAAAATTTGACAATTTTTTTTGTTCGAGTAAAGCAAAGTATTCTTGCATGTTAAGTATCATTTCAGATATCGTATCAAAAATGCTACTTGCTTACGTTGCTTTTGGAGCTGTATATAGCAAAATGTGCGACACGACTAATTGCACGCGTGCTTCATTTGTGCTCTCCTAAGCACATCGAATATCTTGTCAAATGTGTTGTCTGCTTGTTTCTCGTGCTACTCACGAAAAGTAGTTACGCTAAAAGCGTACAGAACAACCATTTCTAGTGTTGTTCTCGTGTTTTAATATCACTGCAGGTTATGACGGGCACTTACAATGATATCTGTTAAAAATTTTAAACATATTGCTGAGAGAATTTGTGTAAACAAGTATGGGTTATGTATATTTTAATATTTAGATGGGTTGCTTACTGGTTGTTTTTTTTATTTAAAAATTAGGGGTTGTTCATAAATCACGTAGCATTGGGACCTGTCCAATGTCTACGGTCCATACAAGATTTTCTACGCAGTTTATGAACAGCATTGACTCAAGTATCAGTCACTCAATTATTTGTCCAATAATAATTTAACTGACAATTGATGTCTAAATTAATTAAACTTAATCTAATTAGTAGCCTCCCTTAGGTCAATTGCACGACCATACTGCAGAAGGCTGGGTTCGATTCCCAGTTCGGTCAAGGAATTTTTCGGGATGTTTTTCGCTTCACCGAAGCTTGAAAGAAAGACTAATGAAGTGACAGGAGAAAGAGAGACAAACGATTGAAAATTTGTTGGCAGACGCCGACTGAGGTTCTAGAATACTGCGAAGCTGTTCGACTTCAAAAGAAAACATAAAGCTAGCAGCCTTTTCGTCGCATCGATTTTGTCGATTGAAGCTGATATTGCGAAGCCTTGCTTGCCACATAATTGTACTAATACAAAAATGGCAAAGGCATCAAAAGCTTTGATTAATAACTGGGGAAGTGCATCTAGAACACTAAGTTGAGAGCATGCAATAGGCTAATATGTGATATGCAATAAGCTTGAAATGAGAAAAATAAGAAGAAGAAGCGTAGCGTTTAGAATAGTATTTTTAGTTTTGGGGCGAGCTGCTTGCAGCCAAGTTTTACCCGCACCCTTGTTTTAGTTAGGGGGAACTCAATTGTGTGTAAATCCCCAAATTACAATTATTGTGAGTCCATAAGGGGGTGCCTGGATTTAAGATGGATGGCCGCAGGTATGAAAAATCAGTGAGTAGCCGTTAAAGGCTTAATTATAAGCAATAACTTAACAGAAGAGCTATGCTGGTAAAGTTGCAATAATTGCCTAGTTTTCATTTCCGGACCACTGTGCATTGGTATGCTTGACAGGAACTATAGGTCAACAAAATCCAGGCTACTATGTTATATTTATGTCTCAGTAACCCATGAGTTTGGCAACCCTGCACTTATGACTTTTGAGATTGTGTGTTTACATTTTCAAGTCAAGGACGGAAAAAAGTCGTGAAACTTAATCCCAAGATAATATTCAACGAGCTGGTTGCCGGTCATCCACTTCAAGGTAGTGGCACTCGAAGACGGAGGGCGAGAAGGAGAAAGGTGACTGATGGCAGAAACTGTCCATTTAGGAGAATAAATTTCTCTACTGTGCGCCATTCTGGCAGACGTTTTCCGAAGCCAAGTACCCCACTGGCAAGTGGAAGATGAATCTTGTCTGCAATAGCATCATGCAACTCGGGCAATGCTACAATCTGAAAAATAGGAAGACTCGACCTAAAATGCCCACCGGCGGTAGTAGTAGCAGCAATAGACCTACAGTAGCTTCCCAGTGTCAGGAGTCGTGGTTAGGTACCTACTAAATTCGTCTGACTCGATACTGGTTGCAGTCGTTTGATGACTACCTTGTTATTCCTTCATATTTTCTATTCTTGGGCATGCCGGAATCGCATATTAATCTCCCTGAAACTGCTGCCGGTTCCGACTGCGTTCATTAAGACCGTGACTCAGATTGGCTCTGTAAACTTCGGTGTGGTTACCTTCACAATTCTGTTGGCAGCATCTTTCTTAATGTTGCTGTTGTCGTCAGTGATACGAACAGTTACGAAACAGCGTAGAGAGACCTCCACAGACAATCTAATCCGAGTTCAGTCCATAGAAAGAGCTGTACGGCTGACTTATTGGTGAATCATCAATTGAACCGGGGTGTTCTGCGAGAGAAACAGCTGTGATTGCAGATACATCTGAAGAATGGTAGGATCGTTCGACACCGTACATTATCACTTAAATGCTCCTTACTCATACAATTGACTCTCAGTCCAGATCCTATGGCCATAGAGTTAGTACTTAATTCTAGTTAATTCTGGGCTATTCTGCGGGGCGTGGTGACTCTGACTCGTTTGTCGGACTTCCTGAAACTATAGACATCTCTCAAAAGCCGTGTGGACTTTCTGTAGAGGGTCATCCCAGAAGGCATAAGGACAAAGAGAGTCCCGTCAATTATGCAATCTCTTATTATGATTGGGGACAATTTCACTGGAAAATGGCATTGACAAAAAATCGCTTTCCCCCTTACTTTGAAGTAAACGAAGAAGTAAACCTTAGAAACGATTGGCAAAATGTCAACCCAAAACAGTGATGCCATTTCATGTTATATTTTGTGCCATACTTGTCATCGTGTGCCATGACCCGCCAATCAGTGTGCCACGATGTGTTTTGGCACAATGTGCAGAGTTGATTACCCTTTGATGCCAGTGTAGTATAATATAACAATAAAACGAGATCAAATTTTGAAATATATCTCTTGAAATATGGAATGAGAATCGATAGGAGATACTTCGGCAGTCAAACAGTGATTAAAACGATCAAAACTCAACGAAAAATGCCTTTCCGAACTGTCCAGCGCACATCTTTTGGATGATTACAATCTCGCTAATAATGCAAGCTACCGCTTTCTTTTTGTCTACATACTTTCAACCCCCTGCAATGAGATTCAGTTCTTGAAGCTGCCGAAAACATCAGTAGCACTGCTGCGCCAAAATATATTTAAGCTTCAATCATATAACATTAAATGTGGCAAGGTGGCAACAAATTTAATAACCGTTCTGAATTTTCCAAAATTGTAAAACAAATATTGATTTAGTTGTTTTCAAATTAATGAACACAATTTGCGTGAATCATGCTTAAAGGCCCAAGCGCAATGACAGCGGAAGCGGAACGGCAGCGGCAGCAAAAAAGCCCGATCTGAGTAAGCCTACTTGTTGGATTGAAATCAAGTTAGAACCAAATCGAATTCGGTTAGGCAGCTTGATGTCATTTGTGACAACTTTCAAACTTTTCGTTTCCGTTCCGCTTCCGCCCACATTGCGTTTGGGCCTTAACTATAACGTTATTTAGAAAATATTTTATACGCGGTGCGAAATGTACCAAGCTTTATCGTAGCTGAAAAGTAGGCGCTGTCAATTTAGCACCATCGCACCAGAAAAATTTAGCTTCCCTCGAGTTGTTTGCAGATTACAGGCGTTGCATAATTTGACACAACTGAATATTTGATATCTTTTGTAATCTAGAATTTGGACGCATTGAACATTATTATTTATGACCTAACTTTCCACTAATAAGTTGCGCTTAATCAAACAATGCCTAATGAATTCCTCTTCCATTTTCTCCTTTCCAGGGTGTGGCCGGCTGTTTAACAAAACGAGAATGTAAATTATAATTTTAACTATTCCTAGTGTGTAATAGAGCAAAGTTTAATAACAAAAGAAAAAAACAGTACATTTTGAATACAATACAAAAATCTACAGCGAATGAAGGCAACAACAACAAAAAAAAAACAAGACAAATAGAAAACAAAAACCAACAAAAGCTGAACAGTGATCTGACTAACACTAGCACACACGGTAGTGTTTAACGTAGTGGAAATTGCAAAGTAACCCAAAACCGACGCAGTCCGACATACGAATTTAAAGGCTTGGAGTGGGGTGAGTGCAAATGCGGACTGGAAGTTCCTTCTATCACTGACTGGCAGGCAGAGTAGCACAGAACCGTACACGTAGAGCTTAAACAACTATGGTGAGTGATATCGGAGGCCAATCCCCAACCAGTTGACTTGTTTCAAAAGGACGTCGATCGAGAGAGATGAGTGAAATGAGCGCTTTGTGCAATATTTGTAAGTGTTAATCGTAATGTAACTATTTCGTTTCTTCGTTTTCCTGAGTATTATTAACAGGGAAAGACAACTTTCCCAGAGTTGAGCGTCTTTGAATTTACTTAAAAACAAAAAAAAAAACAGAAGTTTGCTGAATTTGACCAGCAAACCAACAATACATTCCTTTCTGAATCGGAAGTAGCGATCGTCGGCGAATGTGACATTCCAATTCTGCATCTTACGATTCCATTGGCATTTGTATTAGACACCGGTATTTGATTTTCCTACAACACATTATTAATTTTGCTGCCATTGAATCAACAGAAAGCTTTTAACGCAATAAGCAAAGGGAAGATTTTAAAGAAAATTTAAACCATACTGAAAACAGCACAAGCAGAAACGAAAAACAAACAACACACAGTGGAAAAGCGAGTTTAGAAAATCAAACTAGTAGCAATTTCAGAGAACAAGTTTTAACGAATTCATTAAAAAATACTGTAAATACAACAATTTACCGAATAGAAGTGGGCAGGCATCGCGAGGGGTTCAATTTTTTCTCATCCAAAAATTTCAAGCAACACGATAGATCATCAAAACAGCGAACCAATCGAATTTAGGCATCGTTGATGGGAAAAAAATTAAAAAAAATATATAGACTCTTTCTGTGAGTGCTAGGTGGCTGTGGGTGTGTATGTGTGCGAGAGCGCGTGTTAGGGTGAGTGTTAACAACCGTGTGATCCGGATTTTGCTCTGTAACAGTACTAATAAGATAGGTGAACACACGAAAGTGATGATTGTGATTAGCCGGTAATTAAATTAAAGTGCGATGCAGACATTTAAAGCAAATTTGTACATAAACTAACACATTTACAATACAAGAATCAATACAAGGATAATGAAGTAAGTTAATTAATTGTATTAAAATATTTAAAAGGATTTGTGAATAAGCAAAGCAGCTACTAGCGAAAGAAGAGAGCAAATGGGTCATTTGAATGAGACATTTAACTGATGAAAATGAGTTTTGATTTGAAATTTTAGCAAACCAATAATCTGAAACCGAAAAAAGCAGAAAATACAAAGAAGAATAATGACAGATTTTCTATTGATGATGGAAAAATGGCAAACAAATTGAGTAAAAAAAAAAATAGCGAGTGAAGGGCACCACAGAGGAGCAAACAGTCTCTCCGTGGGAGTCGTGTGTAGGTGTTAAGCATTGTTTATTATTATATTATAATGATATAATGTAATGAAAATTATATCATAGAAATCCTGTAACGATTGTGAATGTAAATTGCAAAATTCGAAAAACGGTATTAAAATATTATTATAAAAATTTAAGGGGTGATTCATTGGTTTCGATATCCGAAAATGTCCAGTTTGTTTTTTATGAATTTTGGTCGTGAATGTTTTTTGGCGATCAGGAATGATACATGTCTTATATTTCGCTCTGTTGGATACCGATGCTGTTCGAAATGCTGCTCCTGTTCGCTTCTCTGCTCGTTGGTAGGTATGACATTGTTGAAAGTATTATCTTCTCTGAAGTTCAGAGTGTGCTGTAAGGAGGCTGGGAGGAAACTCGTTGTAAACAAATCTTTTGGTGTCTCAAAGGCCCAAAACAGTTATCAAATAAAAAAACACAATGCTAGGTTTGGAGCTGTTCGCCACCCCTCATACGTACGATTGTGGCTCCAAACACTTCTCAAATAAGAGCAGTTCAAAGCCAAATGACAAATAGATTGGACACGTCTTCTTCGATTTGCATGAAACTTTACATAATTGTTTGTTATTGTGAATTATTCACATTTGAGCAAAAATTCGACCATTTAGAATCTCGCAATAAATAAATAGCGTTTTCGATATTTTCCAACAAATCATAGCTCGAACATGTCATTTCGAATCGAAATCACGTTTCAGACAAAGTTTTAGGAAACTTCAATTCCTTTTTGTTTAACATACACGGAAATTTTTGTTCACTAATTTTGAGTAAAAATCAAAAAAAAAATTAAACCTAAATAAAAAAAGTAGAAGGTTGACGTAGGACCGCTAGTGGACGGAATCAATGTGAAGAGCATTTAGTTCTTTTAATTGATCAATTATCTATTATCTCAACTCTTTCCGTTTTTGAATTGTAGGTGTACCAAATTTGTAGTAATCTTTTTCAAAGAGAAAGTTGATTAAGAGAATCAATCAAAATCACTTGCACTCCTGCTTCCAAGTTTGGTTACAAGATTACAACTCTGGAGAGCATTTTGTGTGGTCGTTGGGGACTTGTGGTTCTGAATATGGACAAACAAGCACAGATAAATTCTATTCAAACTCTTTACTGATGTAAGCTTGATGGCCCTGACGAAAATTTTATTCAGTCTCGGAGTAGTACCAATAGACTGAGTGAATCCAATCTTTACTTTTCTCAAATTCGGGAATTTTTCCTGCACTTTATTTCTTATTTCTGAGATAACTAAACTCAAATTTAGGTCGTTCTCATTCGCCGTGATATCTCCTCGAAAGATATCGGCGCCGGTGGTTAGCGTGATTACCTCTCACCCCAGCAGGCCTGGGTCCAATCTCAGTCGGCGCCACCGGCATGTTCTATGGCATAACATCTCTGATCACGCCTTCCTTCGGGAAGTAAAGCCGTTGGTCCCCGGTTGAGTTGATGGGTCGATTGGTAGGGTTCAGGTGTGGGAGCTGCCTCCCTGGCGTCGGTAGCATTGGAGCTCAGTACGGAAAACAAATCTCGCGTCACTTTTCAATAGGTCCTATATTCATTGATCGATTCTCTTCATCGACACTCTTTTTCGTAAATAACTCCGCTTCACAAATGTTTCCTGCCGTCTTTGTCGAATTAGATGCTAGATTGTTGCTTCTTCCATCGAAAATATCCGCCCGTGGCGATTCAAAGTTGATCAAGGTTGATCAAAATAATTTGTACCCCTGCTTCCAGTTTGATTAAATGAGCATTTTGTGTGATCGTTGGTTTTGAATATGGACAAACAGGCAGATGAATTATATTCCTAGTCTTTACTGTAATAAGCGTGGTGGCTCTGAAAAGAGCCGTTTTGTTGCCAAAGTTGGTGATGATTTAACCTCCGAAACCAAACAGAGTGCGTCTCTGTCACTTCAAAACGTAGATGACATCCATGGCGCTTACGCTTGGCGTGTTTAGTGTAGGTGACAGCATCACGGATCTCATTTTCCAGGAACACCTTCAGCACACCTCGTAAATCAGACCGAAGATACGTCAGACACCGCCACGGCGAGCCAGACGACAGATGGTAGTTATCTTGAAGAATTTGCGTTTGATTCTGAATATGGCGATGAGTGTGCAAAATATTAAGCAATTCCATCCTCCCTATTCGCACGCGCCCGAGGATCGGAGGCGCATGCCACTTCGACTTGTTTCGTCTACTTACTACTCTCTGACGACTGTGCTGGGGAAGCAGCATATGCATGTAGGTAATCGGTGGATTTGTTAGTTAATTCGACGCTTTTGTACAATGCTGGACATTTACCAGTTTTTCAATAGTTTCTTAGTAAAAGTCAACATTATAGTCATATTTCTGATCGATTGGTGTTAAAATTATTGAAATTGGACCAGGGGCAGCTGAGTTATTAACGTTCAAAATCTTTCTTAATTTATTACATGTTCCATTTTCCGTTTTCACAAAGTGTACCCCCATATAGAAATCACAGACGTAGTCCTACGTCAAAATGGCATGCGGTCCGTTAGAGACATCTTGGCGAGCCGAGACCTCGACTATTGCAATTTAATTTATGTGTTTTTATAACAGATCGATCTGAGGAATTAGTAGTTAGTGCCATCTTGTGTTCTCTCAAGTTGCTAGGTCCCCATCGGTGTACCCTCAAGTTCGTCTTTTTCTCCAGTATGTCACTTAGTTCTAGATTAAGAGCACATTGCTCGAAAAAACCTTGTGTTCTCAATCCCTACCTTGCCATCCGTTTGTTACAATTTGTTACCCCTAACCTTGAGATAGCCAAGAGTAATCAGCCCCCGCTTTACTAACGTTAGTTTTAAATAATTTTGTAACCCAAACCATCAATATCGGCTCCGCAAAGCTACGGTAAATGAGCCTAGAAAAATAAACGTATAAAAAAAAATATTTAAATATTATTATTTTTAAAGCTTATAAAAATGCTATCTTCTGTGATATTTTCACACAAAATAATCAAACATTATTGAACAATTTTTGGATTTTTTGAACTTATTTACGTATTTTTAGCACTTACTTTGAACATAATTAATTTTTTAAACTCGTGATCAGTACTAGCGAAAGAATCACAACGGACAGTTCAGAAAACGGTGATGTCATTATGAAATATGTTACACATCATGATCATATCCAATAGTGATAATCTCCAATCATCATCATCAACTGTCTTTTTTTTTCCGTACTGAGTACAATTGCTACCGATGCCAGGGAGGCAGATCCCACACCTGGACCCTACCTATCGACTTATCAACTCATAAACCAGGAACCAACGGCTTTAGTTCCCCCCATGATCAGAGATTATCTGCCTCTGAAAATCTCAGCGGCGCCGACTGGGATTGAACCCAGGCCCATTGGGGTGAGAAGCAATCACGTTTACCACTGCACCACCGGTGCCACTGATCAACTGTAATTACCTAAGATTCCCCATTTCATCCCCATTGTTTGCCAATCTCTAAATTCGCTTCATTTAGAAAGTAGCTGTCTTCGGCAAAGTTGTTAAAATAATCAAATCCTTTCGAATGGAGAGAATTCATAATTTTGTAAAATTTCAATATGTTCTACACACTTAGTATTTCACCAGCTCGGAAATTTTTTACCGATATTTGCACAGTCTAATGTTCGGTAACACTGTAACACTGTGAAATCAGCAAAAGTAACATTCCTTGCTGAGATTATGCGAAATATTTTCCAAGACTCTGCCACCAAACGGTACTTTTGCTGAGATCTCAGTAAAATGTGATTGCCGATTCGGCAAACAAAATTAAATGTGTATATTTTGCAGTAATGATCCTGTTTCATATACTCCTCGCTTAATAATTATAATTATAAGCACACGTCGTTAACAAACTTTCGCTTGCAGATCCTCCGCGAACATTGTCCACATCTCGTGCCCATAGGGAACTACACTGGAACCTCCATTTAGGGACGGTCCATTAATTATGTCACGCAAATTTGGCCCATTTTCCAAACCCCCCCCCCCCCCTCCCCCTTTGTCACATTTTTTAAATGGACCTTAATTGTTTTTTGTAAGGCTCGTCACAGTTTCCAATACCTTCCCCCCTCCCATTAAAAGTGTGACATAATTAATGGACGATCCGTTACGAACCAAACCGTGAGTGCGTAGAAAAACCTTGTTATTTGGGATTTACTTCTTAAAAAGAGGTTGACCGCGCACGGATAGGACCCGACTTTTACGTTGTGTGATAAAAGGAGATATTGAAACGAGAACTATTATTTGACCGTCCTGCCATGGCGGAGGTATAAGAACTATAGACGTTTATTTACTGTAACAAAGCAAGCAATGACAATGATACGGGGACAAGTGGGGACATCTATGGGTAGGTACTGTTGCTATTTCATGTTAAGGGTAGAGGCAGTAGTAGTCGCCTGCACGAACATACTCCCCTCCAAAAACGAGTTTGTTTTTATTTGACTTGATGATTTCGACAGTGAATCTTCTGTTATCTGTTGCACATTCTGCGATGATAAGCGAGCTGCTTGTTGTCCATTGTTGACCGATGAAAAGAGTGTGCACTGCTGTTAACACTCAGTCTATTGAGTATCCGACGTAGACACTAGTCCGTTGAAATTGAGCATCTGCTGCTAGCCAAATACTGTGTCGTCTGCAGCAGTACCATAGGGTGAGCTAGACGCGGTGCGAGATGCTCTGCCAGATGGCTATTGTAAAGCCACACCATCGTAGCCGGCAGTGTAGTGGAATCCTTCATAGCACTGGTGTTGAATCACAACAAGTGTTCGATATTTTGCGATCGGTAACTTTCACAACGGTTCGCGCAACTGGTCACGGCATCATTATGATCGCGCACGGATAGGACCCGACTTTTACGTTGTGTAATATCTAAAAGGAGATATTGAAACGAGAACTATTATTTGACCGTCCTGCCATGGCGGTGGTATAAGAACTATAGACGTTTATTTACTGTAACATAACAAGCAATGACAATGATACGGGGACAAGTGGGGACATCTATGGGTAGGTACTGTAGCTATTTCATGTTAAGGGTAGAGGCAGTAGTAGCAACAATCAATACGAAACTAACGATTTTAAATTGGCTCACTACTTGACTAGCCTATTGGTCCCAAGCA